TGTAAACCCTCAAATTGGGGGTTCCTCAAGTTTGGAAGAATATGAATTCGATCTCCCAAAAGTGATCATATTCAAGAAGCCATGTATAATATGATTACCCATATTATCCGCCGGTTAACCCATTTTTTATCCGTATTAAATATGGGTCGGGTCGGATAATTTATCTGTTTTTCATTACCCGTTCTCGACCCGTCCCATATCCGACCCACATGTTTGCCATCCTTAGCCTACCCTAATACAAGTATTAGTGACTGTTTTTACGGCTCAAACCCGTGACAACTTTACGGTTGCTCCAAGACTCCCCTTCAAAGATCCAAGAGATTAAAAGTTAGACAATCTCTTTCCCTTTTCTTTGAAATGAGTTTCTTGAAAAGGAGTGATAAATTCTTTATATATGGATACTACTTGACCAGGCTTAGTTATTTACTATACTTTTACCTTTTTGAGCTTCAAGACTTCCTCTACAAGCAGAATTTCTGGAAGAACGAGATGATTACAGTCAAATAGATAAATATTTTTAATCTCTTTCCCATTAGAATTGTTCATTTGGAGGCTACAATTATCATAGCAAACACAAAGTTGAATATAATAAGTACTCCATCTAATAGATTCTTAAATAGTTAATTAGTCAAGATACCCTCTAGAAACAGCATATTATAGTAACTTTCTGCGAAAGATATGCTTAAATCAAAAGCAATTTCATTTCACTTAGGTCATTGCTCCCTCTCTCATGAGCAGACTTGGAGACATATTCCGAAAAAGAAATTGAATCATTGGAGATTCTATGGACAACCTTGGATTGCAAATTCCAAGAAATTCTGAGCTTTACTGACCTTGAGAAAACCATCAAAGGATGTGGTGCAATAGATGAGACTACTCTTTCCTTATCCAAAGGTTTCGTATTCGGGTTCTGGGTATGAAAAATCCTTGGTAGGAAGCGATTCCTCTCGAATGAAGTCCTACACAACGCGTCCGAATATAATCGGGCTCCAATGCAAGTAACGGACACCGGATGGAAATTGAGAAATGCTCCTAAAATATGGCTAGTAATTAAAGAGCTACCGATATACTAATGAAAAGAACTCAATTGGCAAGATAGAGGTTTGAAAAGCTTAAAGTTTGAGTTTCACTGAAGCAGAAGGATTGAGGAATGTAATGTAAATTGAAAGTGGCAGAAGAACGTAAAAAAAAAAAACTGAAGACTACTAGTGCAAGAATATCAACTCCATTTGGAAAAAGGGACTCTTAAAATAACCAAAAATTGAAATTTGGCTAAACAGGCTGTTAATTAAATATCATAGACAGTTTTGCAATTCTGGTGCATATGTGGAGGTTTTCGTAAGATATGGGCAAACAATCTCAAACATGATTTAATTTTTGCGTTTTATCATCACTGTATGCTAGATATGATCATTATTAGTTTTAATTAATTTAAAAATTTACCACACATGGTAACCTTCTTTTAGTTAACTTCAATTATGGATACTAGAATATGGTGTTGTACATTATGCCTGAATGGTTGTACCTTAAGTCTAAAAATACATAAATACTAGTAGTTGCTAACTTAGGGTGAGGCCCTATTATGCTTTATTGTATAAATAAATAGAAGTTACTTACCCTGATTAAGTTAAGACCAAGTTCATAAATGTATAATTTCAAGAAAATACCTATAAACAGAAGTCCAAAAAGATATTTTATTTGAAAAAAAAGCATTAATATCCGAACAGATTTTGTGATAGCTAAGCTTATACACTATGGTCCAACCTATTTTACATGTGATTTACAATGACCAAATCAAATAAAATGCTCCCTGGTCCGAAGCACAAAGAATCTCATGCAACTACTGCCAAACGTACAGTTATGCTATTATATTAGTTTATGTGTTTTTTCCTCCCAACTTTAATTATTATAATTTTAAATATAATTAAAAGAGGATACCCTTCTATAAGACTTACTATAGATAAAAAGGATATAACTTATGAGGCTTTACTGCAGAGGTACCCTTTATGTATTATTATTATTATTTTTTTTTAAGCTTGTATGTCGTCTATAAAATTCGGTCATTAAGATCGATTAAGGTGATTGTTTCCTTTTATACCTAGCGTCTCTTCCGTATTCTATAATGTGTGATTTGTCCAAGGCTTGACATAGACCTCCACCTTTAAAATTCAGCATCTCTGTTGAGGTTTGTTCTACGACCTCGCACAAGGCTACGCACTAACCCACTCCGACATTAATGTAACAACTCAAATTTACTAGGGTTATTATCCGCTTTAGGCTTATGCTCATATATATGGCTTTAAAATGTGCTATTGGTGCCCAAGGCTTGCTCTCTTAATTAAATACCCAAGATTTTTTCTGTATTTTAATTGTCTAAGTGAAATTTGCTTTAATTGTTATAATAATATTAATTGAAGTTCAAGTTTTGATGCTATTTTCCTAAAGAAATGGCTTTTAATTAAATATGATGTGGATTTGTGAACTGCTGGGTAGAAAGTCTAAAGTGGACCTACTTATTAATCATAACATTAGCTTCTTTTTCAACACTCTTTGTTGTAGTAAATTGACAAAAAGAATGCCCCACCAAGGCTTTCATTATATGAATCTCACAATATTTTTTAAAGAGTGGTGAACGCTTGCTTAATAAGATATCAAAGAGGTCCAATAATATATAGTAAGACATGAACTTTGGTTTTTTGCTAAGTTGTTGCTGTTTGTTCCTAGCACCATGATGTTTCCAAAGTTCCATTTTCCTTTTTGTTTCCTCATAATGATGGCTTCAACTATTTCTTGATTTTTTATAGTCATTAGTTCTCCGAAAGTATTCCATAATATTGTGATTACGCGTTTCCTGAGCCGAGGGTTTATTGAAAACAATCTCTCTTTATTTATAAGGTAGGAGTAAAGTTGCATACACACTATCCTTCCCAAACTCCACTTGTAAAATTACACTGAGTTTATTGTTATTGATGTTCTTTGAAATTATTGAAGTTTTTGTAACAGGAAACTAATGATAGCCTTGTATATTTATATATTAAAACAGTGAGACTAGGCGCGCATTCATTTCCATTGTCACTACATTTAAATTAAAGTTTGTCTACTGTTCCTTCGTTTTTGTTCCGATTATGACACTGAGAATTCTTCTAACTTGAATTTCCAAAAACATATTGGTTTAGAATAATGATGGAATCCGACATAGTTAGTTTCAACATTTGTTTTTTATAAAGCTTCATATATTGCACATTGCTATTCTTGGTTTTTGGATGCTTTGTTGCTTAGTTCTTTGTCCGTACTTGTCTTGGATGCTATAGAAGCTTTACTTTCATCACAAATGGAAATGAAGGATATAAGACATTGAAAAGTTCAGACCAAAACACAACATAAAAAGTTAGTCACACCTTGGGCTTTCACCTGTCAAACTAGCTTATAAGCACTTTTCGGCTTATTTACGCGTTTGGTAAAATTAAAAGTGCTTATAAGCCAAGCGCTTATAAGTCACAAATAAACCAAAAGCCATAAGTTAGTCACCCCAAGCTTATGAATTTTTAGCTTATAAGCACTTTAAATTTGATCAAGATTTATACTATTTTATCCTTAAAATATTCTTTTTTTGAAACAAAACTCTTACATCGATACTCACTGCCTCAAGTATTATTTCAACCTCCCCCCCACCACCCCCCCCCCCAATCCCTCGCCTCTTCAAGTCTGCAATTCTCATTGACTATTTAAGATAAGCAAATTTTCTATTCCTTTGCATATTTGTATCTATATGTGATTGTGTATTAATCTTTGAACTGTATGTAATAAATGAGGACATACTAAATTTTTGGTGTATTGCTTTCTAAGTGTTGTGGTGATGAAGATAATGTTTGTTTCTCTTCAAATATTTTGTCCTATTTAGGTTTATTTTTTACCGATAAACTTTTGTCAATTTATTAATTATTATAACTTATGATTATATGCTTATCATAAAATAAATTATATTTATCATAAATTTTATCTTATCTAAGCATAGTTGTATTTAAAATAAAATGACAAATAGAATATTTTGTATTTGAATCGATCTGGAATCTAAAATTTGGAAGAAATTACGCCCTTATAGGTGTAAGCAGTTCCAAGGTTATTTAAGTTATTTTAACAGCAAAGGAGCTTATGAGCACTTTTTTATCAAATACTGCAGCAGCTTATTATCAATTTCAGCACTTGTATCCAATCACATAACTGCTTATTTATTAAATCAGTTTCAGCACTTAAAAGTGCTTTTCCGCACTTAATACTTATCAGCTACGTCAAATAAGCTAAGCCAAACGGGCTCATATTCTTTCTTTAGTCCAACCTCTTAAAGTGCTGGAGTATCTTTTTTTAGTTTCAAAAAGTAAAATTGTTTAGGAATTATTTTTGCTAGGAAATGCTTTTTCTTTAGTGGATCTTATAAAATGTGTATTTAAATTAATCGTTATCAATTACTGATGCATTAAAAGAATTGTTTTTTCAAAAAGACGAAAAATGAAATTGCCAAGCACAAAAGAACGACGTTCATGGCCAATAAAACTTAGCTAAATTATATTTGTCTTGATTCTAACTGTAAGAATTTTATTCATTTTGACAACAAGACATTTGTATTTTCAATCTTTCTTTTTCTTGAGAACCTAAAATATTGTTTAGTATATAATAATAATAATAATAATACTAACCAAATTCTTTTAAAGTCTAGCACTTAGAGCGAGTGGTTGAGTGTGTGTGTCCTCTTATGTATTGTTTTTTGGTCCAAAGTTATTCCAAAATACAAAATTTTCACATGGGGCTTAATTATGTGACTTTTACTCAATAATGCCATGAAATCGTCACATGGAATTCAGAAGGTAGGATTTTCATACAAGATTGTATGAATATATGACGAAAATTTAAACTTAATACATTAAACAAACCAATTTGACACTTAATTATTCCTGTTAAAACAATTGAAACAACCACAGACAACTACACAAGCACACACAGAGTACCCAAAAATAAATAACATATCCATAATTGTACTAGTCCATATTTAATTCAGGACAAACATAGTGACTTGTCCTCACGTTGCATTACATAAAATCCAAAAAAGATAAAAATCACAAGTAAAAAGTAAAACAGAAAAAGAGACCATAGGTTTAATTTTCATGAGAACATAGAACACGAACACGAAATAGTAAGACTTAAATATTTAACCTATCATGACTAGCTCCGACGATAATTTCTTGATCTTGGAAGATAAACAATGGATTCAGAAACAGTACAAGTGGTTTTGCAAGAAGAATACATGCTAATGAATCCAAATCTATCACTTAAACTTCTTATTGATGGTACCTTTGAAGAACTTTTCCAAATGCCATGACCAAAACTCTTATCATATTGTTGTTGAATATCATCTTTGGAACATTCCACAAATGCTGCAAAAAATGGATCTTTTCTGAAGCTTTCACTAGCACATTTTTTGGGAGAAAACTCATCAAAAAAACTATTTTTCTTGGATGAATTTGGTATAGTATTTCCAGCTGGTGGTGGCAATGGAAGAAGTTGGCCTAAAGAAGAGTTATTTTTCCTGGAAATTTTTTGTTTTGGTATACCAGGAATTTGCTCCCAAGAAAAAGGTACCCCTTTTGAGAATTGAAGAGGAGTAGTTGGGCTAAAGGGGGAATTATCAAGATCATGAAAAGAGAGTGATGAACCAAAGGAAGAGTTGGAAGAGTGAGATGGAGAAGAGGAGAGAGATGGACTCCGGCGAGTCGTCGGCCGGAAAACTGGGGTTGAGAATGTGGTGTCACTTTGATCTTCAGCATCATATGGTGGAGGAGGAGTAGTAGTAGTAAGAGTAGAAGCCATTGATTTTTGATGAAGGAAGAAAAGGAAGAGGAAGAGGTTCTTTATCTTTGATGTTGTCTTTTTAGTATCTTTACTCTCCTTGCTATGTATATATACAAAAAAAAAAAAAATAAATAAATAAATTATGTTGTCTTTATTATCTTCACTTTTTTCTTAACTAATTCTGGTGTTAGCAAAAATTACGTGCACTTTCATTTATATATTATAGTATCTTTCCATTAGAATAAGCATCGAGTTAACTTTGTTTGATACTTCCACCGTTCAATTTAATTGTTTTTTTTTTTGTCTTTTTTTACGGTCCACAATATTAATTTCTTCAGATATCAAGAAGCAGAGGTGAATGTAGGATTTAAACTTTATGAGTTCAACTTTTAAGATATTTAATATTGAATCCATTATAGTTTTAAAGTTATGGGTTCAAATCTATTATTTATATAATTTTAATGAATTTTTACACATAAATTTCTACTCCGCGTCGAAAGTTATGGGTTCAATTGAACACGTAACACTGGATCTGCCTCTGTCAAGAAGGAATTAACTTCTTTTTTTCAAAGTTGAACTAGGAGTAAAGAGTTTAAGAGTTTGTTATATTTCTAATGAAGAAATGAAGGTTAATATGATCAATTTTATTTTTAATAAATACCAAAAAAAAGATTATTTAATATATGTGAAAACAACCAAAAAATCAATTGAAATGGATGTGAAGGAGTAAAACATAGATAGATAATGGGGTTTTTCTTTACTATATTAATTCACTTCGTGTATTGAGTGATGTATTCTTTAATATATATTTAATTTTATTTTTCGTGTTAAGATCAATTTTCACTCTCAATATTTTGGTGAAGAAGAAATGGAAAAGAGATAGATATTATTAACAAACAAATCAACCCCATTGTATTATGACAAGAATGGAGAGAAGGTAGAAGCTAGCACATGATAAATGAAATAAATAGGTACCTCCGATGCCGGCCCTTTTATAAAGCATGTAAAGCAATCGTTTTAGGTCCCATATTCTTATGGGGCCCCTATTTTTTGTTACACCTAATAGATTATGTATAAGTTTAAAAAAAAGTTTTGTATAGTGAAAAAAGTTTGATTTCTTTCTAACAAATATAGAGAAGAAGGTTTGCAACTACTATAATTTTTACCAAGAAAATTGCACTTGAAATAGATATCGAACCCGAATTTCGTAAAACGTGTGATAATGAAATCTCAAAATCTTTCGAAAAGTCCTTTAGAGTTGATTATTTTTATATATAATAGACAAGGCTATTTTTTCACTTCAAAATAGATTTGAACAATTCGAAGCATATGAAAATATTTTTGGTTTTCTATTTGGCAGTAAAAGCTAAGATCACTAGATGTTGGAAATTTGAAAAAATATTGCCTTAATCTTGAATGTTCCTTAAAGCATAATAATCATCTCGATATTGATGGTTCAGATTTATTTTCTGAATTAAAAGTATTAAGGAAATAGTACAATTAGAAGATAACAGTTTAATTGATACACTTAATCAAATAAAAAGATTTAATTCTTTTCCAAATGCCTAAATTGCTTATGAAATAATGTTCATAACTCAAGTTACCGTTGCTTCAGCGGAAAGAAGTTTTTAAAATTAAAATTGATAAAATCTTACCTAAGAACAACAATGCCACAAGAAAGGTTAAGTGGATTAGCTATATTGTCAATTGATAAATACTTATTAGGAGTTATTGATTATAAGAAAGTTAAATAACTTTGTATCTAAAAAAAGCTAAAAAAAAAAAACAGACTTCAAATAAATAATAATAAAAAAAAATTAAAAAGTTAAGGCCTCTCATAAAATTTGGTTTTAGGCCACAAAATTCGTCGGACCACCCCTGGGTACCTCTTTTTTTCTTAAAAGGAAGGAGAAAATGTTTTTGCAATATATACTTGAGTAGCAATTAGATTTATATTGTTAGAAACTCATATTTGATCCAGATTGCGGTTCATTCTAAAAAAAAAATTCTTTTATTTATTTATGTCGTAGTTTGGGTCAAAATTTTGGAAGATAGCTAAACTTTTCTATGTACGTAATGTTTATTTAACATAGCCATATTTTACTTACCTGCTAAAATCTTGGGTCAAAATGTCTAGAATTAAAAGCTAATAACCTAGATCAAGGCCCCCTCTATTTGTACGTAATTTAATTAGTGATATTTTACTTGAAAAAGCTTCATATGTTTTAATGTTTGTCCCAAGTCAATGATATAGAAAATACTCAATATTTTTTGTGCTAGTCTAAATTCCAACGAAGCAATGAAGTAGCTAGAAATCCAGTCAAAAATTAGTAATGAATGATATTTTTTATTTTTTCTCATTTTTTTCCCTATTTTTAATTGAGAAGAATGGGAGGAGACAGATGAAATAAAGTATCATGAAGAATAAAAGAGTTATTGGATTCCATTTTCGTGGCCTAGTTTTCACCTACCAACTTAAGTCAGAGATATCATATTTGTCTCAATTATTGGCAGGTTTATAAACATTAGTAATTCGAATTTGATGAAGCATGGGTCTCGAGCTACTTTGGTTGTAATAATTAATATAACCGATCGATAATTCTCTTTATATTCTTCTTTTCCCCTTAAAATAGAATATTATAATTATACAATAACAATAGCAACAAACTCAATTTAATTCCATACGTGAGGTGTTAGGATCGGGAACCCGAGTAATGCGAAATTTAGCCAAACAACATTATAATAACAAAAAAATAATGCAAGTTGATAATAACGACAATTAAAGCAGATAAAGAAGACAACAATTTAATGTAAGTTCGGTCAGTGTGACCTACGTTCACAAGCGGAGAGGAGCAATTTCATTACACCAACAAGAGTACAAAAGAGAGTACAAAATTAGAGTAAATATTCTAATTAATCCCAAATACCCTAAGAGAATAACCTCACAAAATCACTCAAAAGAAAGGGTTCACACAAGTGTTTTCCAACACTCAACTGTCATACAAAACACTCTTATTAAAGGAGGAGAGAAAGAAACAAGAAATGAAAACTCAAGTCTTGTTGGTATGTCTAAAATGAACTGATGGCCTTTTCTTTTATAGGCAAAAAAGCCTTGGCCTCCAAGCTGTAAAAGAAAAGATACAACTTGTGCAAATGATATCCACCACACAATGCAATATTTTTGGATCCCAAAGAATATTGCCAACAAGGTTTACTTTGCAAATAAGGTTATGCTTATATGAGATGGACTCCACTAGCCAAAATATTGGCCATATTACAAATCTCCACCTTGGCCTAATTAATTTTGGCTGATATAGTAAATTCGCTCCACCTTCTCCGCAAAAGCTCCAATGGGCATATGTTAAAATTAGTGCCATCAAAATCAGATAAGTTGTCTGATACCGAAACTGTAGTAGGGCCTATTATAGTTGATCCTAATAAAGTATACAACGAACCAGATCTGCGTGCTTTCATGATCACAAAGACACCTTGAAAAAATTTCAGAACTCCACCTTCACCAGTAAATTTGCACCCAAGAGATTCTAAAGTGCCCAAAGAGATGAGATTTTTCTTCAACTCAGGAACATATCTAACATTAGTGAGAGTTCCCACCACACCATCATGCATTCTGATCCGATTGTACCTTTGCATAGCATTGTTAATAAGTTCCTACTTGGACACATATGATACGAACAAGCAGAATCTAAAATCTACTCATTGTCTGATCTGAAACTAGTTTCTGTTGCTAAAAATATAGTTCCCTCAATCTCATCAGTTGCTACACTAGCTTCGGCGGTGTCAATATTTTGTGCTCATTTTTGCTTTCCTTATGTTTTTCTTTATTTTTTAGCTTATAACATTCTGAGATAATGTGACCTTTCTTATGACAATAGCGACACTCTAAATTATTGTATCTGGATGTTGAGTCGGATTTTCCTCTAACAAACAAGCCAACTTTCGCTTGAGTTCCATTAGCTTCCCCAGTAATATCCTATCTATCTATTCTTTTGATTTTAAGATAGATTTAATATCCTTATAAAAGATATTATCCTTTGCATAAAGCATAGTATCTCTTATATGCTTAAAAGATGAAGGTAGAGAACAAAGCAGTAACACGGCTTGATCCTCATCTTTAATTTCAGTATCTATATTACTCAAATCCATAAGAATGGAATCAAATATGTCAATATGAGAGAGAATAGAGGTACCTTCACCCATACAAATTGTGTAAAGCTTCTGCTTCATGTAAAGTCTATTTTCCACCGCCCTCTTCATATAGGGTTGTGGTTTCTACACAAACTTCACGTAAAACCTCATTTGAGAGATTTAAGATGATACATGATTTTGCCTTTTTGTCTATGACAGCAAATTCCTCGTCCGCCATTTTATCTCGCTTCTTCTCCTTTTCTTGCAATGCCAAGTCTAAGCCATCCTAAATTAGGATAGCTTCCATCTTTAATTGTCACATTTAGAAGTTTGCACTTCGATCAAATTTCTCAACATAAGTCTTTGTTAAAGTCATATTGGCTATTGAAATAAATCCGATTAGATCCGGCTTGATACCAATTTGTTAGGATCAGGAACCCGAGTAGTGCGGATTTTAGCCAAAAAATGTTATAATGACAATAACAAAGACAATACAAGTTGATAATCACAGTAATTAAAGCAGATAAAGAAGACACCAATTTAACGTAGTTCGGTCAGTGTGACCTACGTCCACAAGCGGAGAGGAGTGATTTTATTATACCAACAAGAGTACAAAATTAGAGTAAATACTCTAATTAATCTCAAATACCCTAGGAGAATAACCTCACAAGATCTCTCCAAAGAAAGGGTTCACACGAGTGTTTTCCAACACTCAACTCTCAACTCTCATACAAAACACTCTTAATAAACTATGAGAGGAAAAAACAAAAAATGAAGACTCAAGTCTTGTTAGTGTGTCTAAAATGAACTAATGATCTTTTCTTTTATAGGCAAAAAAGCCTTGGCCTCCAAGCTGTAAAAGAAAAGATACAACTTGTGCAAATGATACCCATTAGACAATGCAATATATTTGGGTCCCAAAGAATATTGCC